ACCAGTACACACCTTACTTTACCCATGCAACCAGTACACACCTTACTTTACCCATGCAACCAGTACACACCTTACTTTACCCATGCAACCAGTACACACCTTACTTTACCCATGCAACCAGTACAGACCTTTCTTTACCCATGCAACCAGTACAGACCTTTCTTTACCCATGCAACCAGTACACACCTTACTTTACCCATGCAACCAGTACAGACCTTTCTTTACCCATGCAACCAGTACACACCTTACTTTACCCATGCAACCAGTACACAGTTTACTTTACCTATGCAACCAGTACACACCTTACTTAACACATGCAACAGGTACACACCTTACTTTACCCATGCAACCAGTACACACCTTACTTTACCCATGCAACCAGTACACACCTTACTTTATCCATGCAACCAGTACATACCTTACTTTATCCATGCAACCAGTACACACCTTACTTTATCCATGCATCCAGTACACACCTCACTTTACCATGCAACTGGTACACACCTTACTTTACCCATGCAACCAGTCCACACCTTACTTTATCCATGCAACTAGTACACACCTTACTTTACCATGCAACTGGTACACAACTTACTTTACCCATGCAACCAGTCCACACCTTACTTTACCCATGCAACCAGTACACCTTACTTTACCCATGCAACCAGTACACACCTTACTTTACCCATGCAACCAGTACACACCTTACTTTATCCATGCAACCAGTACACACCTTACTTTATCTATGCAACCAGTACACACCTTACTTTACCCATGCAACCAGTACACACCTTACTTTATCCATGCTTCCAGTACACACCTTACTTTATCTATGCAACCAGTACACACCTTACTTTACCCATGCAACCAGTACACACCTTACTTTATCCATGCATCCAGTACACACCTTACTATACCCATGCAACTGGTACAGACCAAGATTGACAGGCACAGATGTCTTATTGTTACCTGCACTGTTCACGAAGGATGTTCATACCTCACAGGATCTTGCATAGTCTAATTTTTTTATCGTAAAAATCTCCAATTTATCATTTTCATGCGTAGATGACATTTAATAGTTACATCATAATGGTCCTTCATAGTAAAGCATTTTGACAAATTTGCAAAATATCACACCTTGTGTGTGTGGCTCAATTAATAATCTTGCCCCTCGTCTGGTGGTCTCTTTAATTTGTATATTGTTTTATGACAAGATCCTATTTCATCTAGTGGTGAAAAAAATTACCATAACGAGCCAGTATCAAGTATGAAAAATGATGTAATCTACTATGTAAGAAAAAACAAAAAAACACTTTTTTCTTCTTCCCATTCCTTTAAGGAAGACTATAAGATGGATCATCACTGTTGTATATAATAACTTCCAGCTTTGTTTGGCATTTATAGTAAATTATTGCAAGCACATTGTATAAATTAGCAGCATTTTTTGGCATTTAGTGTAAAAATGAAAGTACCCTAATGTTGTCGACAGTGGTGAATTGTTGCAAGATTTATGACAAAGATAAATTTTGGCAATATTTTGTTGGCTGTTAATTTTGGCAATATTTTTTGACTGTTGATTTTGGCAAAATTTAGTTGGCTGTTGATTTTGGCAATGTATATTTTGTTGGCTGTTGATTTTGGCAATATTTTGTTGACTGTTAATTTTGGCAATATTTTGTTGGCTGTTGATTTTGGCAATATTTTGTGGACTGTTAATTTTGCAATATTTTGTTGACTGTTGATTTTGGCAATTTATTGTTAGCTTTTGATTTTGGCAATATATTGTTGATGTTTGACTTTGGCAAAATTCGTTAACTGCAACAAAGCAGTGTTGAGGAACATTCATTGTATGTCACTTGTAATTGTTCAAGATCTTGTTTGTTTATGTCAGAATGCACTTAAAAATACCTTAAGATGTTCTGTTTAAAATTGTTTTCCCTTGTTTCTACTACATATTGTATCAAGGAATAGTTTAAAATTGTTTTGGTGTCCCAAGTCTTGTGTATTTTACCTCAAGCATTAATTTTAGGTATAGAAGGCATGTAACAAGATGTTATGAAATATTGCTTGAAAATTTGTCACAATGGTAATTTACTTTCTTTTATATGTTACATGATAAAATAAATTGTCTCCTTGTCACATGATTTAGAGTGACCTTCGACCAGTGACTCACTGATAGGAATGTATATATGATGATTCTTACTGGGCTGATGAATGTCAATATATCCATGGCGACAAGTTTTAGAAAACACATTTATCTTCAGTGTGCAGTTCTCTTGATGAATTATTATAAAAAGACAGCTTTTGTCTAAAATATGTTTCTTCTTTAAAAGATTAATTTTACACACAAGTAATATGTGTAATAATATTTTGATAAAACCTTGCAAATATTAGAGTCAAGGTCAAGGTTGTACATCTTTTCGGTAGCATCTAGACCTTGCAGGCACTTTGAAATGTTTGGCTTTACAATTTTTCAAACAAATAATGCATTATCATATTTTGACCATGCAAATATTAGGGTCAAGCTAGGTCTCTTTTTTTTTTTCATCTTGACCTTGACATTTAGCATTTAAAGTTATTCCTTAGTTCCGTAATGAGACCCTTTTACACTAGGTCTTGAGATTTGCTAATAGATAATTACTGCAGATCTTACTAACTGTATAATTTAGTCAAAATCTTAATTATAAACCAGTAAAAATTAAAGATATTACTTAAATTAAGATAAATACAGAGCTGAGTGAATGCAAACCCAAGACAATAAAGGAATATTTAATTTATCGAAGAGCATTTGACTTTTGATAATGAGTTAACCTTTACCACTTGCAACTATATATGACATTATTATATATGAAAAAAAATACTGTTTCAAATTTTTTAACATGACTTTGTTCATTTTCTTCCATAAAACTTAAGGTTTAAGTGAGAAATAAGCATCCATCTTTGATACTTGTTCAGGTCAACACTTTTATAAATTTCCTGTCAAATACATAAATGGCATTAAATATCTTGACTAACTTTAAATACCTAATAATATAGGCAAAATCTTTTGTAGTTGGCATACAGTTTTAGCCTAATTATTCCCAATAATTTATTTCCTTAAGTCTTGGGAAATTTTGTCCCTATTTTTGTATTTTTTAAAACCAATGCAATGTCAAGAATTTTTAACTGTTTTGAATAGTACAAAAACCAGATTAAAGAATGACTGTGAATTAGGGGGATTTAGACATGTTCCCTTTTCACCAAACATAAAGTCTACAACTGCTTAATTGCCATCAAAGTCTTTCAGAAACTTGACCTTTGATCCAAGTCAATGAAAGGCTTTATCATCAAATGCATTGACCAATCACATGGAATCAATAATCACGATCATTTAGATGCTGGACCTACGGTGTCTCCATTGTCGGTTTTGACAGATCTATTTCATTCTCGACATTTTACGTTAACCCAAAACATTTGGCATAGAAAGTTTTTATTAACCTTTTAGGAGCTGAGAAGTCTTGAATATAGAAATGGAAGTGTTATCAATTATACTTTGCTCTTGACTGTTTCTGACAATGTTGGATATAGAACAGTCTTGACGGGCGATCTTTTTACCGGATTAAATGAAGCGAAATGCACGAGCAGTTGGAAATGTTCACTATGTTTTATTGACGTGAAAATCGGTCTCCTAAAAAATGAATAGGGGCCTGTTAATAATGCAGCTGCGATGCAGTACCGAGTTGAAACAGTGGGAAATCACATATGGGTAAAGAAAAGGGAGCATCGAGTCACATGACCAAGGAAGATGATGGTCATCGACTTACGGAAATGAGAAGATTCAACATTTAATGACACATCAATCATAAGAAATTGAAAGTGTCATATTTAATGATTGAGAGAATAGTGGATGATTTTGCTTGGTCGTAAACTTTGAATGGGATCATTTTAAGGGAACATTTATCTTCATTTTGTCTCCATTTATAGAAAAAGGTGGGAGTTCTGTTTGATGTTTAAATATATAAAGATGATATTACTCCTTATAATTAGATAGAGCAGCATGTATCTATAATTTGATAATTGGATGAAATTTGTGGATTGTCACTTTCTGTCATCTCTTAGAATGGTGTAGTTAGTTTATATCTCATTATTTCTTGAAAATAATATAAAATTGTTATTAATATATGAAAAATGAATAAACTTTTAGAATATAAAATAATTTTTTTTTCAAATATATAGATTTCAAGAGATCTATGACTGTCTAATAATTTAATATAATAATAATTTAGTAAATAAATCCCATTTATTTTATATAAAATCTCATTTTTAATTCATTTTGCATTATAAGGTTATGATGGCTTTATAGCTATAGATTTTTAAGCAAACTGTTTTAGGATTAATAGAAAGGTTTTGATCAAACAAGTTGATGATCCTTAGATTATTTGTCTAAAGAGTTGCCAAACTTAAGAGTTTGTACCCCACAGTATGTTGCACACCTGGATAAAGACCAGGATTCAACCATGTACATTGAATACAATAAGGATCAAACTTATTTTTGTACACATTTAACACACCCACCAACATTGTTTTTAAGTAGATGATTTTTTGTTGAAGGAAAGGTTGTCACAGAATTTTCTAGAATAATAGAATTTTTGTTATTTTTTCAGAGTAAATAGCATAATGATAGGACTAAAAACATAAAAAATCCAGTCTTTAGTATCACTGTGCCAGTTCAGAATATCAAAATTGATAATAGTATTTTTCCCCATCTGTAAAGGTTAATTTACAAATTAACCTACTCGCGTCATGACCATGGTTCCACATTATGGCACCAGTACTGAATAGTTCAAGGAAGCAGACTTGAAGGGTGATTTATATAAGTTACAAGAACATGTTTCACAATCAAGCTTATATAAATATGTTTAAACTAAAATTTAAATATATTTTCAGAAATTTACTTTGTTTAAATATGCTTTCCAAGGATCTGACATGTCATATCAGGGAATTTTGATTTTTACTTTCAGAGCCTGGCACATGACATCATCTTGACGTTAGGAGAGTCATTCGAGGTGGCTTATCAGATGGCGTTAAAGGAGAAATCAAATGAAGAAGCTATGGAACTTGATCGGAAGATGAGCCAGAGTGATGTAGAAGATACTTACAGTACCGTGTCGAAAATATCAACAAACACCGTATAGCATCGGGTACGAGTTTTTCTATAATTCTAAAACTCATCTATACTTTTTACTATGGTAATTTACTTGTAGATTTTGTGTTATATTTGTCAGTTACATGATTCGCTTGTCAGTCTAATTTTTGTTAACACAGTACCTATACTTAACTTATGACTTACTTAGTTTCATATAATACAGGGTGAATGCACCTTTTTTAGTGCAGTAACATCTGCAGAAGCACACAGAGGCATTTAAAGCCCAAGTCCACTGGGCAAGGGATTAAATAAGTTCAAGGACTTCGACAGATGTTAATGCACAAAAAAAGGTGCATTAGCACTATTCTTGCATAAAAATATGCATTTAAATTGGTAATTCTGAATTTGTTATCAGTAGTAAACTATTTTTGATAAAGTGACCATTGCTTGTGCTATGCTTTCCACGTGCAAGTGCAAAGTCATTTGACAATTCTGTTTTGAATAAAACATCTGCCGTGACTGTATTTACATTAAAACAGTTTTACATTTGGCTCTTGGTCGAGCATATAAAAAAACGTTCAACACCAGCACATGGTCACAGGAATCTGTCTGTTATTGCATGTTTTTTTTCTCCATGAATTTATAACTGCGTTGGCATTTTTTATGCAAGAATTTTGGTTGGTTATGTATATGTATGCTTTTGGTCAGTTACATTATAATATTGGTTATTTACACATGTTGTTGCTGAGTACCTTTGAACAAAAGTGGTTATGTTGATATGTTAAGAGAACATAATTGTACTTAACCCTTCCCTTAAAGTGCTACTCTATGGCATAGATGTCAAGGTCACTAGGTCACAGACAGAACATTTCTTCAATGCAGTGTTGTTGTTGTAAGCCCATGAACATTTGTCCAAAAGATGAAACCAAGTTGGAGCTAGTAATATCCTAGCTGTCCAAATGAAGCAATGCATCCCAGGCATTGCTCATGGCGTCTCCTTTCAGCTTTAATGTTTCGAAGAAAAAGTTCAATGTGTCGTCTTAATGTTGACATCGTTGTGCAAAAACTGTAATGTATCCCATTTTTCAAAGAATTATAAAGGTATCAATGCAAGACTTAAACTTAAAGGACTTTATAATATTGATACAAGTAGTTGCAAAAGAAGGCACATAATTCTGAAAATAATATTTTAGGAGTTATGCCCCCTTTTTAACTAATACTTAATTTTTTTTAAAACGCACTATTAAGTTGGATGATTTTAATACATCAAAGTAATCCCTATTAAAACTTGAAACACTTAATAAACATGACAAGAAAAGTTGTTAGGCGAGGGGCATTATCCTGAAAGCAACCTTTTAAGGAGTTATTCTCTCTTTTTTTTAACTGCAATAAAAATATTGAAAAAATTTCTTATAAAACACAGCTTGCAATGCTATTGTTTAAGATGTTGAATGCAGCTATATATAATGTGTTTCTGATATCAATACTGGTATGGCTAACAAGTGACTGGAATATATCTTGTTATATGAAGATGTTGTCAAGCTACTCTATGGTTTGTGGTTCTACTCATAATATGGTGGGGCACCTGAGATTTTTGTCCGTCTGCAATTCTAAAGTCAGCATGTGATCTTAACAATGTTGTGGTGTTACCAACCAAAACTTTACCTAGCTGACTGTTCAGAGCTGATGTATATACTGAAAGAATTGGGATTCTCATCTAATACCGGCTTGAGTTTTCAAATAAGGATTCCCTTGGAAAAAATGTTGCTACTGTGTAAATAGAAATTAATTTCTTAGATTATAAATTGCGTTGAAAATCAAGATTCGCACCATTTCAGAAGTGAAGGGGCGATAACGTCGAAATTGTTTCTCGACTTATCATATGATAAGTTGTCGATACTGGTCCCCATGCTGGATTTAGGAAATAGTCTAGGTTTCAGCTTCAAAATAAGCAAGACTTGTTGTTTTTCTCGATAATCTATTTTTATCATAGAAATAAAAGATTGAAAAGACTTGTAAAATAGCATTTCGAGTTATATCGCTTTGATTATTTTAGACAGTCGCGGAAGAAAAATAGATAAAAAGTTGTTCTGTTTGTTTGTTTTTTTACAATTTTTCCAAGGATACAGGGATGTGTCTGCATGCATTTTTGCAACAAAGAAATGCATGTTTGACTCATGATTTTACACGCAGTAACTTTAAGGAGTTTTTTTTTCCTATGGAAGGAAAATGTTAGTCGAAGTTCGACAACGCCATCGTTTAACGCTTTTAATAACAAGGGAGACTATTCGTACGGCATTGTCTAGTTGATTTGCACTTTTAGACAATGCATTATAAACAATTTTTTTCTTAGAACGAAAAAAAGAAGATCATGAAAATATCTTTTTATTACATGATTATGCAATAGGGTGCATGTTATATAATTATATGTCTCAAAATGTATGACCTCACTGCATCGAGTGCAGAATAAATAAAATGCAGTGATTTTACGACTTAACCAGTCTGTTGATTTCTGTCTAGTATTAAAATGCACTTCTTTTCGAAAGTTAAACTTGGTTTTAGTAAACAAAGTATTAATTTTATAGTAAAGAGATAATTTTGAAATTTGTATTTTCTTTGTAAAGATACGATCGTTGTTCGACAGATATTTATATTATAAATTCTTGAAAATGTCATGTAACATTTTGGAGTTCCTGTGAAAGTGATTTCACGAGGTAACAGAAACTCACCGTATTATAAAAAAGGATATTAGTTAAAGAATGGATTTTATGAAACAAATCGGCCATCTTGGATATATTTAAAGCTTATAACACGTGTAATGCATTTGTGTTGTATGTCAAGGTAAGTTATTTTTAGAACGATCATGCGTGTTAACGATTATAAACCATGTCGTATATTACCCTGTATTCAAATTCTCAAGACAGGCATTCAGTTTTATCGCGTACAGACATAAAAGAATCCTTTATGCGGTTTTGACATGTGTTTACGTAGCTAAGCGCTGTTTGTAACCTGATCGTGTAATGAATGCGCGTGAATTGGAAGTTGGTCATTATATGATATAATGGAAAGCATTGTTGTTTAATGAAGGTAAATTAAGGAATATCAATCATGTTTTGAATGATAACTTTTTTTGTCCTGTTATAAAATTTTTTCATGTTTATTATTTTATTAAATTAATAGGCTTTAAGGCGCATGTTTACAAAGCATGATGCAAAAATAACTACTATAAAATTCGTTATAAAAAACGCTATTGATAGTCACATCCCATTTAGTCTATTTTTGTCATGTAGTCTTGTTTGGGGCTGTGACAGGCGATGGCTCCATATTGTCGCATTTTGTTGGAACACACACATAGATTTACCTACAGCTGTTATAATTATTAATAAAATTGAATTATTTTATTTGCAATTTCAATTAAAGAAATTTTAACAAATTATTTTTAATGATTATATTATATTTGTTCGTCATTGATATCAGTTCATTTGACTGACAAGCGCCACATCTGCGCAACGAAAACAATAAAATTACGCGAAATCATGTCAGCAAAATGCATCATTTAAGACACATAATTGCGCCTGTCATTTTCATGATATTATTTTTGCAATACACAGATGTTGCCAGGAAAACAAATGCGAAACAAGGTAATTTAACGTGTATTATGTTCAGTTGCGTTGTCTCTTCGGAGCATTGGGTTTCCTTATAAAGTAATTACTTAGCTTTTATAGTCCTTGGCCTTTTTTAACTTGAAAAATTTTTTTCTTGTAAAATTTCAGAAATTCCTTTGAAAATTCAAGTTATACTTTATCTTATTTGTTAAAGATGCTCCATTCACGTTTATTGTGCTTGATATTTATTAACATTAGTTAGTTGTAAACAAAAGAAATGTTGCAGCGGGACCTGACTGGCATTTTCATTTTTCTTTGACAAATTTTCCTCGGAACATTGATAATGTCGGGCAATTGTTTCGCTGTATCCAAGCAAAACTAAACACATTACAGTTTCGCAGTAAACAAAGCGGACAATTTTATCGCAATAATTATAAGTAGGTCGATAGAAAACAGTTCTTGTCCCGTCGTATTGTTATTGTTACCATGGCAGCATGTGCGTCAGACTTGTATTTGGTTGCGCTTACAGTTGAACCTTTCTAAAGCGTACGCCCACGCTCGGAACCTTTATTATTTTATTTGATCGCCAATTTTGGTAAAAAATAAATTCGGTAAATGTTGTTTGACAAGAACAAAGAAAAAAAACATTATAATTTTTTTATTCGTTATCATTACATGTACTTGTTTGGAATTATTTTGGTAGATTGATATTAAATCAAGCGCGTAGGCACGCGCTTATCGATCAAATGTCAGTTTGAAACTTGTATTTCAGATAAGTGCTCCGGAATAATTATCAAACAAGTATTCCTGAATTATTACGGCATTTTCTGCTCATGATTGCCAACTGCTTTTCATGAATCATTTGAATGTTGTCTCGAGATTAAAAACGTTGCTATTCCCTCCCATATTTACCAGCTCGCAAACTTACAGACTCATCCAATGTAACTGTGTTATGTCTGCTCCAAACAGAAAACTTGAGTCCAAAACGTCCAAAACATGACTTTCCTATTCTACCGGTACATGTGTCAGGTACGTTTGACTACCTCCTTGCTGTCTGACCAGTAACTTGTTATTTAATTGACAGAATCTAAGCATGGCCCTGTGGTTAACACATTGGACTAGTAATCTAAAGATTGCTGGCAGCATGGGTTTAAGCCCCATCAGGGGCAAGTCATGGTTTCTGTGAGCAAGAAACTTTACACTCATTGCTTAGTACTGGGTTTGTTCCAGGAATGAATTCGAGAGTGTTTCAGTGAGCTTTTAGCTTTCAATACAAACAAACTAGAATAAATTTGTATAAACTAGACTAATATAAGTACCAAGGTGTTTCTAGCAAGGCGAAGGAAGGCTGTGTGTCTACGGTACAGTAAGAATGTCATATTGTGTCATTGCAATATAAAAACCTTATAAAACGCATGTGATTTGAAAACAACATGACTGGAATCTTGAC